CTTAATTCAATCGAGTGTTGAAGAGAGACAAAAGGGATTAAAGGCGTAGTTGAATGAGATGATTGGGGTGAAGGTAGCAATCTTCGAAGGTCGAATCGAACAGTAAAAACAAAAACTTTTTTGGTGGTCGTAATTCGTGAGTCATGATCTGCTGATGCAACGCTGGTAGGCGGCAATAGGCACAATGGAAATGGCGCTGAAGATGGTCGGAAAGAAACCCAGTTTCACTCCCCTCTGACTCTTCATACCTATGCCATGCCCCTGAGCTTGCCCCAGCCCTTCTCAAGACCACGGAGAGCCCGTTCACGAGCAGAACCGGAGCTGCTCGAGCTGCTGCCGGAGAACTTGCGGCTGAGGGTGCTGGATGAGTCGTCGCTGAAGACCATGTTGCCGGCTCCACCACGGCCGACGTGGTAGACGGGGGCGGCACGGCGGAGATCACGCTCAAGCTCCTCGTCGAAGCTGAAGATGGCGCGCTCGCTGCTGCTGTGGACGTTGCCGGCACCGCCACGACCGGACTTGAAGGTGCTGGGGACATTCGAGTCCAAGCGGGTCAAAGAGGCAGGACCAGTAGCCGAGCGAGAGTCGGTGGTCTTGGTGCCCTTCAGGTTGATGACATTGCCAGCGCCTCCGCGAGCCGTGTGCAGAGCAGGGCGGCTGGTATGAGGGACCGACGGATGCGGTTCAACGACACGGTAATTCACTGATGCAGGCATGGTGATTGAGTTGTGATAGGTTGTGGTAGGTAGTAAAGTGGTGTTTGTTGATATGTTATTAAGGATGCGTGCAAAAGCGCTTGCGATGCGGGAAGTATAAACTCGCGGTCTATATCGAATTACTCGAATTATTCGAAACGCGGAAACTCAATCCGATTTGCGATAATGGCGTAATAAACATGTAGACGCAATATGAGTCAATTGGAGACGAGGTGTATAGGCAATGGGGACCTATGGTCGAGTGATTCGCGAAGAGTGGTAGAATCTTGTTTGTTTGGTGAAGGTGTGGTAGGGCAGACAGTCAGACAAAGGGGAATAAAGCAGAAGCAGTCTGGGAGCGAGACTATTAAAAAAGGAGAGGAGAAACTAAAAAATTTCCCTCGTGTGTTTCTTTTTTAGTGGTATGAATGACTCTTCAAACTGGAGCTGATGAGAATCCACTTCTATAGCCTGGAACCAGGCCTCGCAGCGGGGAAGGAGTTATATAGTTGGACGCAGACGAGGCGGGCCCAGCGAGTTACCGGGGGAAGAGTCAGGACGGCCCCCCTTCGTGACGGCAGGCAGACTCATGATTGCACCATGGCCACTGCGTGGTTTCCATTTCCAGGCACCGCGCCAGGGTCACGCTTGGCTGGGGTGGAGCTGCCCAGAAAATTTCATCCCCAATAACTCGTTACTAGTAGTGACTTGGTTGAACCTTCCCTCTTTCTGCATTCTGCGGTTATGCGCGCGCTACTCCATCATCACCGCTGCTTTCAGCCCTGCAAATTTTCACCCCGTTAGGGCGGCACCCAAAACGTGCAACATTTACAGCCAATCATTGTCTACCTGCCCCTCTTCTAAACACTATCATTGGTCAATATCCGACCCACCGCCCCTGCCTATCCTGGCTGCTTTAAAGAATTTCTGTGCGATCATCTGACATGCACGGCGCCAATCCAAGGCGTGGCGAAACGTAACAGAAATTGGCGCCACAGCCAATCACAAGCCATGGGTGTGCCCGAGGGCTGGCTCTGGTGGTTTCCTGGGGGTAATGGAAATTGCTGAGTCGGTCACGCGTCATCGGCCAACACATTGCGTGCGGCCTGTTCTGATTCTATTTGGGTCGATCCTGGTGAATGAGGGGGAAGACTCTCGCAATTTCGCCATCAATAATAGCAATAATTCGGTGTATCCAAGGGGCTATGGTATGCTTGGGCCCGGGGCTGAGTTGATGCTGCTTCCTTGGTCTTGGATGTACGAAGTAATACACAGCCCGTCTATAGTCTTCTATTACTGTCTATAGTTTCTACTTGGTATACTCCTAACACGTAGATAGATAGAAAATGACTGGTTATTATTAGCTTGGCAGGACTGCCTATGGACTTACTCTTTTCGGTACCAGCAAGAGAAACTAAACTGAGTAACTGACGAACTCTTGCGCTACAAAGAGTTCGTTGTCCACTTGCACCATCCCTTCTACTATCCCGTAATGCCCAATATTCAAGGCAAGCCCTCGTGGCTTCACCGTCAGCCGGTCAACCGGTAAGAATATTCTACCAGTCCATGACTATTATTCCCCGCAACTATTAGGCCCCGGTGCTACCTGAAACCGGCAGCAGCACAGTTGCATCATTATTCGTGCTGCATCTGAAATTGGAAGCGTCAAGTTTAATGGCTAAACTCTGATCCCCGGCAGTACCGAGGGGGTGTTGTTCTTCACAACCATGGCGAAAGGGCATCGTCCAGTCAAATCCCGGTTCACAAATCTCAGCTAACCAGACTTACTTCTTCTACATGTTGAACGGCGTCTACTGGAAAGGCAGGTACCGGGGAAGATGCCCAATGCTAAAGGCTCAAAGGGGCAGGCCAACCAACTCCGTATGCACGATGATGATGGCATTCTACATGAAAGTCACATCTGAAGTCAAGACCGGTGCGGAGCGTGGGATTCCCTTCAGGGAGTGACTAAGACTTTGCCGGGGCTACCGGTCGAGACCATTTTTAGTGCAGAAATCTCTTTCAGTATGGAGACGGTTAGCGGAGATCATCAAACAACAGCCCCTCACCGCATCATCCGGGTCCCCATCTGACTGTCCCTCATTGCGCCCCAGTTTCTTTCTGTGTTGGCTGGTTGAAAATTATTGACTACTCGTATGATGTTGGCCGGTGTGCGTTGGACATGGGGCAATGGCAGGAACTTTGGGGGGACTGGATTTTGAGGGATCTCTCCTGGCTGTCATGAGATCTGAACGGCACAAACGGAAAATATTGAAGAATGCCTCAGGAACCCCACTGCCCATCCACTGCGCTAAACCCAAGCAGGACAGCTTCCCCAGACACTGACTGCCGAGGGGGGCGCCACTCCAAAAAGAGAAAAATGACTCCATAAATCTGGAACGATCGAGAGGGGAAGTCGACCAGAAATGCCTCAAGGACACGAATCACCCTCCGACCATCGTGATTTCTTCTAGAGTGCTCATCATCCCCCACCTGTCAGGACTATTACCATTAGTCAAATGAAATGTATGCTAAGGACCAACGACTTCGACTAGTGAAGCGCTCACGGACTGCATGCATCTCCTTTCTTAGGGGGTCAGGGGTACAGTCATCTTAACAAAGCAACTCATCATCTCAGCCCCTGAATGGTCACATCAACCGAGCCGGTTGGACCGGCAAATGGCCGCCATTCCCGTCGTTCCTGCAAACCCGCTTCTGGTTCCCGAGGCAAAAAGGAAAACGGCAGAAGAACTTTTGGAGGACACGTCGTTGCTTCCCCGGATTTTCGACCCCGGAGCATCCTAGCCATGCAGGTCTCATCACTCATCACACCCGGCTGACTGCCACCACCGGGACATGACGTACGAGTAATTTTTCCGTGCAGGATGTACCCCTTCTTTCAGCTTCCTTCTCGCCGGAGACGTGGCCAGGAGGTCGTCGAAGTTTCCATGCTTCTGGACACGGCCGCCGCCTGACTAGGTCGCTCGTGTGCTCCTTTCCCAACCATGTCCAGGTGTCGTGACCCCTCACTCGTATTTCCCAACATTCCTATCTTGCCACTTCTCTATGGTCAAGTCACAGCACACGGGGACATAATGATACACCAGATCATTCATTGTAGTCATTTCGAGAGTTTGCAACTGGCATTACGCATTGGCCCCTTGGTCCCTTGCGAGTCGCTCAGGCAGTCGTCGGTCACGACATTGCGAATCCCTTGCTAGTCCGTTACTACAACAAGATCAGGGGATACAATAGTGACGGCAACAAATTAACTGCATCTTCTTATGTCCTACCCCATAGTTCTGACACAGTTCCCCTTGCGTTTATCGGCCGTTGGGCGGCTCATTAGGTAGTGCAGCCATGCATACCAGTCTTACTAGTATTTGTCTGTCATGTCAAAATCTGGTTTCTAGGATACGCAATTCTTCTGAACATGCAGACACCATGAATATCACAATGACTGAATGCAGCAGTGAACCTGATCCAGAAGTAGTAATGCTTTAATTCCACTAATTGCTCCATATATTCCAGATCACCGGTTATCCTACTGCCTGTTTCTTAATCACCTCCTCGCATTAATTTTACGAAGAAACAGGATCATAGAACGGAGAATAAAAGCAAGGAGTCTCCTTAACATATTGCACATTTGAGCGCTTTGTTATGTAAACTATAGACGATCAAGCAGCTTCCGTAGCCATTTGGTAAAGCCTAGTCGACAGCCCTGCCCTCAACTTCAACTACAACTCAGATATCCAAAGCTCGAATCTCAACTAGTATTAGCAATCATCATACAACAGCCAAGATATACACTTAAATGAATGTATCGTGGGTAGACAATGACTATAGACGTATAATCATTCCACAAGTATACATAGCATCCTCAGTCAACATAATACTGCCACCGCCCACCGCCATTTTTAACAGAATCCCAGGTCAAAGTTCTGGGACTGTATGTTTCCAAAATCCGCTAAATCCGAGCTTTTTTCATCGAGGTTTACTAGTTTCTGCCGTGCTGAGCGGTCTGTAGAGCGGTAAGTTGTATACTTTGGCTGGAGGCCAAAGGAATATACGGAGTAGCAGTCCGGACTACAACTATAAAACATCGGCTTTTGCCTAGGTTGAGTATAAACTGCCTGTGTCTTGCGGCTAACTCCGTCGAATATAGCCATTTTTATATTATACAAATACTGAAGATTACTTCCTCGACTCTTTTTTCTTCTTTTACTCTCCGATTAGCCTGCCAGGTTCTCGTCTCTTGAAGCTCGAGTATGCGCTCTTGGCTATAGAAGTCTGACCTCATCTGAGATGGAGAAACCCTCAAAATCAGGCCGTAATGAGTGTCTACCATCAACGGGACCTTTGTATACTATTCTGCCCTCAGCCGACCTTGCCTTGACTGGGAGGTATCCCCCAAAGGCATTCAAAAGCATTGAAAGGCTCAAGGAAACAATAAAAGCCACCTTTATTACACTTGAAGAGCACGATATTGATCAATACCTGTCTCTAGGATCTGTGTCTGAACAGAATTTGCAACACCTGGTCAAGGACCGCCAGGAGCTATGTTATCCAGTCAGGTTTACATACTTCCCAGATATTGAAACACTCATTGTCAAACTCGCCATACAAAGGCAGAACGTGGCTCGCATGGCATTCAGGCGAGAGATCACCTCCCAGTTAAGGATCATGAGTCTCGACATCGAGGAGCGTCCTGGCCTATGGCCGTCCATGCACGTTGGCCCTACTGGTTCCGTGAAAGAAGCTGACGATAGTTGGTCTCATCCCTTAGTAGAGCCTAGGAATAAGGATTGGCCAAGGATCGTCATTGAGAGTGCGGTAGCAGAATCGATCCCCAGACTCCGTCAAGGTGCCTCCTGGTGGATAAATAACTCTAACGGGCAAGTGAGAATCGTGATCTTGATCAGTGTGCACAAAGAAAGTAAGCGTATAGTATTCGAAAAGTATTTCCCAAAGCCCAGTGTTTCTTCCAACACCGGAACGCAACTTGGGACAGCTTATATCCCAGACTTGATTTCAACTACTGAAGTGTGCTATGGAGATGACCCTCCAGATGTCCGAGGCCCTTCAGTCACGCTGGAGTTCCAGCGCTTAGTGGGTAGAAAACCGCTATTGTCTGAGAAAGATGTCATTCTGTGGCCAGAGCTGCTCTTGGGAATCGCTGAAGACATCTTTGAATATGACGGCTTTCCCCCGCTCAGACTGGCACGGTACAGCGCTCCCCATATGTTAACCTCTCATCTGAATAGTGGAGGCGCCCATACTCCTAATGCTCGTTGGCCATAGGATCAGGATTGGCAGAATTGCAAAAAGACGAGCATTTTGTCAAATAGATAAATAAAATTAGACGGTTTACTATTACGGAAACGTAAAACAATCACCTTTTTATATCTGTTTAGAAAATACTACCTGGTATAAGATCTATGATAACAAGGCCGTCCCTACGCAGCTTATTCTATTTATACACCAATTGACTGACAAGTAGCTTATCAGATTATCATGCAACGACCTTCTCGCACACGTGAACATGGTGATATAGTTAGAAATGTTTTTTGCCTGAGGCCACAACATCACGTCCCTGGTATATTGCCGTACCTGACCGCCCTGATATCGCAGCGATCTCCGCCTCAAGCAGTGCGTCGCCATTGATTTCTCTCTAGCTAGCATCAACGGTTTTTTGTGCCCATTCATTTTCCAGCTTCTCTTTCTTTTTCTAGACCGCTACAAGTGCAGCCAATACACCATCGCACACTTCCAACCGAGCCATCTCTCACGCGCACCGCGCCACCTGCGCGCATCCAACTCGAGCTCAATTCGCTTGCAAAGAGCAGTTGCTCTCTGAATACCAAAATGCCCAAATATAAGTCTCCCCCTCACCTTTTGATGGACCCTTGATACTGACAAAGAGATTACTCTTCTGTAGGACACTCCCAACCCCCTTCACATCAACCCGCGGACTTGTTCATCGCGCATGCAATTCCTTCCATCCTCCTATCCAGCCATCACCTCCGAAGTCACATCCCCACTGACCAATGTCTCCAATCGAATATAGGCGACTACTGCGATGTCTACCTCACGCACGACTCGATGAGCGTGCGCAAGGCGCACAACGCCGGACGTAACCACCTCAGAAACGTTCTGGAATACTACCAACGTACGGCGGCCCCATCCACCCCAAGACCACCTCGAAAGAGTCCTGCTAACGCGACACAGAAATCGGACAAGAAAAGGCGCAATCGGTCATCGATTCCATCACCTCGTCTTACGCCGCCGAAGGCCAGGCTGTCCCGAACCCCGCGATGGCTCCTCCGGGAGCTTACCCTCCTCCATTTGGCTTCCCTGGTATGTCATGCATCGCCACCTACTACATACATGCACACTACTGCATCGATCAACAAGCTAACAATCCTCTCCTCAGGTCGACCAGGTCAACTCCCTCCCCCTCCGTTCGGAATGCCTCCTCTGGGCGCACCCGGCGCACCGGGCATGCCTCCTCGTACGTTACACCTATCCCCGTACAAACCAAACCAACACCAGAAAGCATCTATCTAACCTCCATGAAAACAGCCCCCGGAGCAAGAGGCCTCCCCTTCCCCCCTCCCTTCCCCGGTCCAGCAGGCGCTGCCCCTCCTGCCGGTCTCCCTCCTCTCCCCAACATGCCCCCGGGCGCCCAGGGCTTCCCTCCTCCGCCTGGCGGATTCCCTCCTAACTTCCCGACTCCTCCCCCCGGTGCTGCTGCTGCCGGGTTCCCCCCGATCCCTCCTCCAGGTCAAGCCCCAGCAGGATACAGCCCCAGTCCTACACCCGGTATAGCCGGACCGCCGGGACAGGATGGTGGTTACGCACCACCGCCCGGTATGGGCGCCGGGTTGCCTGGTCCGCCTCCGGGATTGGGTGATAAACGGTGATGGTGGGTAGTAGTATCTTACCTTATGTTTTATCTGTATCATGTGTTGCTTGATTTATTTACTACGGGGGTTTCTCATTTTCATTTTTCTTTTCTATATGTTTTGTCTAGATTCTGTTTCTTCTTTCAAGTGATTCCATACCAGCGTTCTATCTATGGGGATTCGGTTATGCAATATTTCTTTTCTTTTGTTTGATTGAAAAGGAAAGAAAAAGTTGGTAAATCAACAGAATATGAATAAAAGGATTTATTGGATGGATTTCTCTGTTTACTTTGTCATGATGCGTATGTGAGTTGCATGGTACCACTACCTATGAAGCTTCTTCAATTAGTGCTACGATAACCTTGATAGAATGTTGTAAACATGTTACAATGGAAACTACTAGATAGCTCTAGGATATAAGGTCAATGCAACTCAGGCATAGCATTATGATTTCTTTCCATACACGATGAAATCACAAGAATAATACAGGGATATCGGATCAGACAAGTAGACAGACCCCCTGCCAGCTAATAAAATAAAAGGAACACTTCACGTAGTCCACACAAAACCCAAGTACCGATCTCCAGATCCAGTATTTCAGAACGCCAGCGGTGAAAATAAATCGAGAGAGAAAAGGGAGGAAGGAAATGAAAGGTGGATTGCCTTTAATAAGGATTCGGATGTGAGAGCCAGAGGAATTGGGAGAAAGAAAAGAAGAAACAAGAAATTTTCCTGTATATCATAGTATACGACAAGGAATGGTAGCCAAGAGCATATAGGCAAGCAAATGGGAGGAATCGCAATATAAAAAAAGCAAAAAAACGCACATAGCGCGGGGGAGGGAGGATGCAGTCAGTGGAAAGCTAGAATAGGGCCCGAAGAATCAACCCATGCCCGCACTAAGCCATAACTTCATCTCAAGCAAGGCTAGAAAGCAATCATATTAAGTCTTTCAGTGGTCGTAACCTGCTCCCCGTTGCCATGGGCTCGGGTTGTTTTGTTGCCGGTATGCATGTGGGTTTTGGAAGGGGGAGCTATTGTAGTTCCGTGGTACAGGAGACGGTGAACGCCCGAAATTAGCATCGTAGGCAGGAGGGCCATTGCGGGCCGAATTGTCGCTAGGGAATAGCGGCAAAGACGGGTCGACAGGAGAGACCGGGGAATGACGAGCGGTCTGGTGTGTCGTGGCATCAGGGGCTTCGAGATTCTGACGGCTAACACTGGCACCGTTTCCACTCGAGAAGGACGTATTGTCATCCTCAAACGGACTGGATTGGTAAGGTGACCCCTTCATGTCCCCACGGGCGGTAGCACCCAGAGCATCCAGTTCGGTGGTCAACTGACCCCCGTTCTTAATGAAAGAACCCCGGTCATCTCTCATGGGCTGGTACCGCGTGTCGGGGTTCTTGGAAACGATGGCGTAAACAGATGCGATCAAGACCAGGATCAACAACACCAGAGCAAAAACAGCGTTGTATACGAAGAAAACAACACCCATAACACCAGTGACAATTCCAGGTTGGTTGAACACATCCGAGAAGAATAGCAGGAAAATCGTGTTGAGGAAGTTAATGGCGGCAATCGAAATGTTGTAGATATTGGTCTTCTTGTCCATCCAGGGCCGGAGGACGCTGACAGCAATAAGCATAGCAGCCTCAATGATGACAAGAGCGATGGTTTGCACGACCGGAGCGGGCTGACTCAATCCAATGAACAGGCCCTTGATCAAAATATAGCCCAGGAACGGGACGATGAAGTAGTACGCAGTTGCGCGGTACTGAACATACAAGAATCCCCACTTATTCAAGCAGGTAGGGTCAGAGTAGAGGATATAAGCCGGGTTCTTGTGCATGATGACAGATCGCTTGGCTAGACGCAACACTTTCAGTGCTGCCCAACCCAGCGCTGCAACCACCGAAAGGAACATGATCACAGCAAGAACCACCTCCGCAGCTGAGTCGACCCGGGTGAATTCCCACAGGCAGAGTACACACATTTGAGGGAAACCGATTAGCGTGAGTCGGAACAGAATTCCACGTGCGACAACCTTCCATCCGTTACGGAACTCCTGGAATTTGTCTCCCTTCATCCTGCCGTTCTTAGCAAGGACCTCACAGCCAAGTTTGAAAATAGCGACAAGGGCCATCACCAGCGCAACGAATACAACGAAGAAGATAAGACCGGTCAGGAAGATATTCGTGGTTTCAATTCCAGCCTTGAAGCCAACACGCTCAATACCACGAACAATGACGCTAGAATCCGTGGCAGTTTGGGTACTGGCATCAGCACGTTTCTGCCAATGCTTGAAATACCCAGTGGCCTTCCTGACAATGGGCTCGTCATCGAGGGAGCGCTTGCGTCTGTACAGCTGAACGGACGTAGTGGACAAGTCTGAAAGAAGGGTTGAAGCCGTTCCTCCAGTCGAGCGCTGGTACCATGTACAGATGGTTTCCAGGAAGCCCACATGGATGATACCCATACTCCACTGGAAATTCTGGGTCCAAGACTCCACGATCGGAGGCATTGCGACGGATGTCATACCAATCATTGCTTGAGACTGCATGAAACCAAAGAGAGAGAGCGCGTTAGCTGCGACGTGAGCAGCCGTGTTCGAGTGTCCCAATCCCGAGGTGATGGCAGAGGCAGCCAACCCGAGACCGGAGATAATGGCTGTAGTCCAGCCAACGCCCTTCTGATAAACTGTCTTGCCGTTGGAGAGGGATGCTTCCACACAGGTAATGGCTTCACCGGTCGTGGTGGAGTTGATATAGATGCGCACGTTGGCATCAAGATCCGGGACAGTGTATGCAATGTCTAAGCGCAGGTGGTTAGTGAACTAGGGCTCACTCAAAGGGGCCGCCGATGACGGGAGATCACTTACTCGGAATGGACTTGACCACGGACTCAGGCAGGGTAATGACGGCTTTCGGAACATCGATCGTGCCCGCATTCATGGGACAGAGTCCAGTAAGATCCATCTCACAAGGGTCGAGAGTCTTGGTCAACACCTGGATACCGTAGGCCTCGAGCACGAGCTCTGCAGTGACCTTTCCAGAAATTGCAGACACTCCATCGAAGCTGAAGGTGAGCGAGCGGTTGCCGGGGGTGAAAGTAACACTGAAGTAAGTGGCCGTGAAATTCGAACTGTCCTGGCAAATACTCAGGGCATTGGATTCGATGAGCTTGGTGGCGGCGGCCTGCGGGGAGTTAAGCAGGACGACCAGAAGGCCTATGAACATGGATATTAATCGCATTTTGGCAAGCTATGTGGCCGACAAACTGTCGATTCGTAGGAAATAACGAGAGCGCCCGTCGACCAGTGCGGGAGCCGCGGGGATAAAAAATCAAGTTGATCGAACAATAAGGTGGTACTCCAGAGCACCAGCTTGGCGCGGCCGGATGCGGTCGTGTAGGAAGTCGGCGGAAGCTGTAGGGGAGGGAGTGGTACCGCAGTGGAAATCGCGGAGGGTAGGATCGTAGAAGGAAGAGTCGGATAGGGTAGTATGTAAGGATTATCGCTCGATGGGGGGTGGGATCCTGTTGCGGTTACGGTTCACCACGTCATTGGTAGCCCAGGGCGCTTGCTTTCCGGGATACTGGAACAAAAAGAGCGGATGAAACGAGGTTACGTCGGGTTTGAAAGAACGATTGTAAAAAGAGAATGCGATATATAAAATGAGTGTCGACTGTAGTAGTAGTATAAAGACTTTCAAGAGAGTGTGGTAGTTGGAAGTCGAAATAACAACAAAAGCGAGCGTGGGATGGCGACACACAGTATGGCCGGGGGGTTGGTGGTTGTTGGAGTTGGAAGAACGACACACGGGGAAGGGGACTGGAAGATGGGATAAGATGGTTGCCTGAGTCTCCCTAAAAAAAAGCGGGAAGGGGAGGGAAAAGAGGGGAGAGGTGTTTCGCACCCTCTGGGGAGACGGGGGGTGCGCAAGGTCGAATTGGCGGAAAGAGAGGGATGCAACGAGAGAAAGAAAAGAAGAAGAAGAGGAAGAAGTAACAAGAAGATCCAGACAAGAGGGAAGAGAGAGAGAAGAAAGAAGAGAAAGCGACGTCCTCCCTTCGAGAAACACCAGACACAACACAGTCACAGCGAGTTGGACGTGTGTGTATTATTTTCTTCAGGGGATTTCAGCTCTTTGGGGTCGCAGGAGAGACGGCCGGGAATGGAATGCTGTCGTTTGAATTGGTTTGAAATGGTTTGAAACCGCCCGGGACCCTCCTCTGCGCTGACTCAGCTCGGGGGCCGCCCTCAATCTCACCAATCACAAGACTCAATGGCACTCTGTCACGGGAAAGTGGAGTCGAACCACCGCCGGGCGGAGTATGTACAATACGGTATCAGGTCGGTATTTGATGGATGGGGATGGATGGAGATGAAGTACTAGTAGTAGTAATGGTACTTCAAGCACGCAGGAACAATATTACTAGTAATCATGAACAATAGCCAAGACAATAAGAATGGTTGACAGATGATAATGACCAGTAAATTGACCTCAGTTTGGACCAATCACTTATACGCATGAATCAAACTCTCCTTGATTTCTTCTCACTGAAATGATCACACGTTTCATAGGAGGTCAGAAAGCATAAAGAAGAGCAGGTCACTCATCCTGCTCAGCTGCCGACCTCATATACTAGGGCTCTGTCCCGCTGTGCAGCTGCCACACCAGGAATGATCGGAGCCAATGTCTACCTGATTACGAACTAGAACCAACTGGCTACTTTGCTGCCAGTCTGTCGGTACCAACTTGAAGTCATATTATTTGCCTTTTTCTTTGCCCCAAGTCCCAAGGCTCACCTTCAGTCGGACTCCAGTGGGTGCACGCGCGTCCCTCAGGGGGTTGGGTCTGGCCAAATGCGGATGCCTACTTATGCTTTCCTTTACCCGCCGGGCCGCACTCTGATTTGTCTAGCATCGGGCGGGCCAGAGCAAATTTTATGGCGCCCGGGGGTGCAAAAACGGCTGGCAATCATGGATGGTTCCGTCCTCCTACGGCATTACGAAA